ACGCACGCACCTGTACGTACACACGAACGCACGCACATGTACGTGCACACGCACGCACGCACACGTGCACAATCACGCACGCACGTGTACTTACACACACACACACGCGTGACGCCCGTGTACGTACACACGCACGCACGCACGTGTACGTGCAGTCGTGCACACGCACGTATGTGTACGTGCACACACACGCACGCACGCACGCACGTGTACGTGCACACGCAGGTACGCACGCGTACGTACACACGCACGTGTACGTGCACACGCACGCACGCACGCACGCACGCACGTGTACGTACGCACGCACGCACGTGTACGTACGCACGCACGCACGTGTACGTACGCACGCACGCACGTGTACGTGCACACGCACGCACATACGTGTACGTGCACACACGCACACACACGTGCACATGCACGCACGCACGCACGCACGCACGCACGTGTACATACGCACGCACGCACGTGTACGTGTCGCTGCTTTCATGAGTGTTGAACGCAATCATAGAAACGAAAATGTGGACACTATCACATCCCCCAGCGCTCATGTAGACAGAGCTAGACGAGCCATATGGTTTAAATACGAGAATAAATAAGAGAGGCGTCAGTTTGGTTCCTATCGGTATGCGGCGGCTTTGATCGCGGCGCTTTTGACGCGGCGGCGGTTTTCGATCGATCGCGTACTATAGGGATCCGGCCTGCGTAGCACGCGCGGCACACACGTACGGCGTACGTCTGACAATCTCAAACAGTGAACTAAAACGCCGTGTCTATATTGTAAAACGAACTATATTACATAGGAAAGCCGTGTCCGCCGAGTGTTGCGATAAATCGAACTCTGAGCACTTGTTTTGCGCTGTGTTAACGCCGAACAGAAATTGTACTCGCCCAAAGATTTTATTTTGGGCCTGTAATATTTTGTTTTTGGTATTTTTTAGTCGCCCAGCAGCGGCCTAAAAAGTAAAAACGCACGAGTGTTTACATTAATCATTGTACTTTCCTAAGCGGTGCAGTCGGCGTTTTATACCCCTATCGTCTAACTGGACCTACATCCCACAGCTGGACATTCCATCTCACTTATACCGTGGGTGTGGTTAGCTTGAAAGCTGATGCCATGGCAAGGGGGCATTGTAAACATACAATAGCTGCATAATGACTCTTGTTTAAGCTGCCTAGCACTTTTTTTCTGCCATTGATGCGCAAGGAACTATGTTAAAGCTCATCAGTGCCTCGACACAGCCCTGGCTCGCCCGGTCGCCGAATGGGCACCAAAACTTCTGCTTGGCGCGTNGCGGCAAGTGCTACCGGGATTAGTGCTAGAGCTAGCGATTACCCCTATAGACTGAATAAGAATGCTCTAGCAGCCAATAATGCGACTGGCTAAACCAATTTGGTACTATAATATATACATAGCTAACCATATAGCTAGCTCTATAGTACTATTGCGCGTCGTAACAAAAATAAAAAAAAAAAAAAAATAAACTAAAAGCCGCAGCAGCGCCAGCAGGCCAGTGCCTGCGGCAGTTTATCGAGCGCGAGCTTAGTGTACTGAAGCTAACACATATACTACTCTAGTACTTTATATGCCCGCGGTATCGCGCCGCAGGGCAATGCGCACGGCCGCCAGGGCTGCGCTAGGCTGCGGCAGCGATCCGCGGCCTATAGTAACTAGAGCTAACCATATACCTGCTGAGTGAAGAATGATAACGGATGCATATACAGCTTGAGCTGTGGGCTGGCAGTCTGGTCACTCATTCTAGCTCCAGTCTCTGGTAGCAAGCAGCTAGGGCAGTGATCGACGGCGAAACACTAGAAGCGAGAGAACACGGCCAAGGTTGCTGCGACTATGTACACTCACGGCAACTGCTGCTGCGGCTTTGTGTCGACCTTTTGGCTAGGTCTAACTAGGTCAAGCATAGTCCATTTATTCATGCGAGAGGGGCGTGGAATGTAAGCCCACCGTAGCAGGGTCCGTCTAATTACCGAAAGGCACCGAAAGCACCGAAAGCATAACGAAAGGCACACCAAAAGGCACCAAAAGGCACCGTAAGGCACCGTAAGGCACCGAAAGGCACCTTAATAAACACCTAAAGGCGCTATGAGAACATCGAATTCCACCGGAAGGTGCCGAAAGAAGCAGTCCGGAGCTGAAATGTAAAAAAAAATAGCAACTATATGTTATTTTTACTGATTTCTCCGTTTCTTTCCTTGGATTTTTTATCGTATTTCAATGCCTATCGGTAGATTTTCTACGTTTCAGTGCCTTTGGTAATTTACCATAATATAGCTGTATAACAAACATTAAAAGGCGCAAAAGGCAGGGCTAAAAAAATTCCGATAAGCGCCAAAAATACACGCCGAAGACACTAGTAAACAACCGAAATCGCATTCCAAAGCCATCATATAAAGAACACTTGTAATGCCCATAAGGGAAGATAAAAAAGCACCCGAAATGCAGATATATGACTTAAATGAGTGAAACTAATTTACAGCGATGCTCTCCTTGCTCCGAGTTTTTAATCGCCGCAGTGCAAAGCGACAGTTAATAATTCTAGTCATGTCGTGTTTCTCTCCTCCCCGCGTGTTACTTGCACGGTCACACGCAGCCTGCCATCCATATGACGCGGTTCCGGTCGCATCCGCGCGCTACATTCACCTAATAATCTGCGAGTAGCCCGGCAAACATCCGTATGCACGCGCGTGACAGCAGCTAAGCCTACTGGTTTTGCGCCGCTCTCACCGCGTGCAAACACACAGCGGGTAGTGAGAGGGATTCTGTTATAATACACGATAACATCTCGCATAGCTACGTCAGCATCGATAAATTACGACGAAATTGGACATTCACATATTATATAATATAATATATTATAATATATTAGCTTATAAAGACTAATAACGTTTGAAGTCTGATTGTTAGACACTTAACATGCATCTTCAATGATACCTCGATTGCCAGCTGACGTCACGCGCGTTCATATCAGGTAGCTGAAAACTGATGATATGCGGTGTTCTAGCATTAATTCAATTATATTAATATATACTAATTATAGTAATATATATATATACTATATATATAATTATATTATATGCTACTGACCTGGATCTCATGGCTCTTCTTCGCACATCTTTTCTTCAATCGCGGGTGCAAGTAGACATATAGCTAACTTCCCGCGCTGCCGACTTGCATATAGCTACTGCACCGTCCTAGGCTGCCAACTCGGCTCCTTTATATTTTGTGTTTTGGTTACGACTCTATCATTAGAATTAAGTCAATATATGTCAGTATTACTATATTGACTCGCTCTCGGTTGCTGTCTGAAACCTGTTTTGTTTTCTAACCACCCCGGTCTGGTTTTACTCTCTCTTATTTTACACTCCTAGAATACGACTACCAGCCTTAGAATTTGAGCATGTTTGTGGTTATTATTTATACGATTTGTGTTACCGATTTTTGGGTATAAGTTCCCATAAATGAAACAGTACAGAACAGAAGTGTTGTCAACATTCCCATACTGGTTTACTTACATTCTGTAATACATGTGGACGTATCCTCTTGATTTCACCCGCGCGGAACCGATCGCGATTGCATCCACTGATATATGATGTTAATAATCAATGACAATTAATCTTGTTACCGTTACATCACACACAAATAGGGTTATAAATCATAAAAATTAACCACCCGTTGTTATTGTCTTTGCTGTAAACGAACATGCATACAGTCAATGACATGTTAGCGACATTTCAGAAAAACATACGTGGACATAATTTTGTGTTAAAAGTTTGCTAGCTTTCATATTCGTATTACGAGTTTCGTTTCACGATTGATTTTATTGAAGATGCGCGGATACTGGAGTATCTTTATTTCAAAATAATCATTCAGAGGCTTGAATTTGCCTTAGAAACATCGCGTGAAAAACACCAAAACTGCCCGAGACGGATCATTGGATTTTTTCACTATATATATACACTGAATCAGAAACACAAAAGTAATATAAAATTATGCTTAAAACATTCGATGAAACAAAACAAAACTTCGAAACTTACCTGCTTAACTTTATGTCGTTTACATTATGTAACTTATGTACATGAGTAAAATATACATAATATATATATATATATGTATATATATAAATATCGGAGTCGTATAGAATAGAGTTATTGATGGCTGTGCTAGTCTTGATAGAATGTAATCGCTGACAAACGTTGAATAGAACTTGGCTATTCATTTAACAAAAATTCACGCGTGTAGGGCCAATTTTTATACATGAATGGACGTGGGTATGTATAATCAAGAGTACATAATAGAGATGTACTCTATTATGTACTCTTGATATAATGTCACATGAAGACCACGTATGTACGTATAGTCAGCGTGATCATACGAAAAACACAACATCATATACTCGACCAAGGCGCGGCCATGATTTCACATTAATTGGCAACAATATACGATATGTTTTAATATAAAGAAAAGATTTGCAATTTATTGCAATATGCAATTACGCGAAAAGTGCGAAATTATTTTGTCTATTTCGGAATTGCAACACCAGCATATATAAAACAAAGTTTGAAAAACCTGAGCGACAAAATACAGACGGTGTGGTCTCATATAGCGAGAGACACAGTACAGTAAGAAGACTGCCATGCGGCGCTGTAACAAGCGCATGCCACGAATGTGAGAAGCAGAGAGAGAAGAGAGAGAGAGAGAGAGAGAGAGAGAGAGAGAGAGAGAGAGAGAGAGAGAGAGAGAGAGAGAGAGAGAGAGAGAGAGAGAGAGAGAGAGAGAGAGAGAGAGAGAGAGAGAGAGAAGAGAGAGAGAGAGAGAGAGAGAGAGAGAGAGAGAGAGAGAGAGAGAGTAGAGAGAGAGAGAGAGAGAGAGAGAGAGAGAGAGAGAGAGAGAGAGAGAGAGAGAGAGAGAGAGAGAGAGAGAGAGAGAGAGAGAGAGAGAGAGAGAGAGA